TCATCATATTGTTGTCTTTATTTTAAGCATGAATAGCTAAATCTCTTAGTTGGCAAAACCAAGAGGAACCTCCACTTGGGTATACCATTTCAACTCATTCTCCTCCCCTCTTTCAGAGTTCAATGGTTCAGTTTGACTGGATTGAGGGTGGATAACTTGGTGAGTCTTTGATATTCCGTAGGCCTAGTCACGGTTTATGCTTAGATACTCACCAATCTTACCCCTAGCTTCCCACGAATCAATCGTTCATTCATGCTCTATAGGAGAGTAAGTCTTTTTTCTACTATCTCAAAAAGCATTTCTCTTCTTTCATTAGATGAATAAGAAAAGCCAGTTGAGCCCAAGAGCCTTTGGAAAAAACCAATTGCCTCATCTTTGACCTCCTATACACCTTCATCAGTTGAGCCATCCATTCTTTTCAAGGATATAATCTTCTTTCTGTTCTGCTTGTCAACCATAGATTTAAGGAAAAATGAGGTATTTAGATCCCTTTCTTTCAACCATTATCCTAGATTTTTGTTTCATGACAATCTCTTCATTCCTAGCAGCATCAAGGTATTTAGAAAGGAGGTGTCTCTCTTCCAATCTCAAATTAGGATCAATTTGACTGACATCTAGTTTGGCTTGGCAAATTTCAAGGGCATATTTGACTTCATTGGCCCTAACAATTGTTTCCCCTAGTTCTTTACTTTTTCCTTTAATTATTGCCTTTAATCTCTTTTGCTTGCAACATAATTGGAATTAATATGAACCATTATCCCAAACACCCCAGGCTTGATTGACCATCTCAAGAAAGTCAGTTCTATCTGCCAAGTAGTTAAAAAATTTGAAAGGAGTTTCCCTCTTTATGATTTCCTCCCCAATTTTGACCACAATTGGTTTATGATCAAAAACTCCAAGTGCTAAAAATTTTGCACTTGACTGCTAGATCATATTGTTCCAAGCTTCATTGGCGAGAGCTCTATCAAGTTTCCTTGAAATCCTATTTCCCATAACTCTCATATTTGACCAAGTAAATTGAAACCCAGAGTATCTCAGATCAACAAGTTTAGATTCTTGCAAACAGGTGTCAAAGTCTTCCATTGAATTGGTCCATCTCCCTGAGCAACCCTTAGTTTCATTGAGACTTCTGATGGTGTCTGTGAGATCCTGTATTTCATATAAATATAAATGGTATTAACTTGATAGTATTTTTAAAATGATGAAAGAAATTTCTAATCGTTGTTAATTGAATGGTCGCATAAGTTTGAGCCACATGCGTATTAACTTTTGGGTTAAATTTAATTTTTAAGCTGTTTAAGGTTGATAAGGGTAAATAAGTAAATATATTAATTTTTTTAGGTCAAAATAACATTACGATTGAATCTGGGAGGTCCGAAAATCTTGGAATATACATTTAGCACATATAGCGATTCGGAGGGGGTAAAATGGTAACTTTGGTGTTTCAGGTGTAAATTGACTTTGATTTTGAGATAAATCATAAAAATAAATATTTTTAGGTTAAAAAAACATTAAAAATAAATCTGGAACGCCTAAAAACCTTATGTTAGTCATAGAGATCAAATTGAAGATATTTAGTGGCAAAATCGTAATATCGGAGAAAAATACAATTTTTGGCCCTATGAACAGTAAAATTGGGGATTGCTAGGTTTAAAACTCCAATTTCATTCTAATTTCTCTCATTATTTCATTCCACTCTCACCCAATATCTCTTAGAATCCTAGGAGAAGATAAAGGAAAAAAGAAAAGGGAAGAAGAAGGTCTTTCGAGCTTGGGTTTTTGTTTGAAAATCTAAGAATATTGCTTGGATTCTTGAGTTTTGAGGTAGAGTTTTCCTTTCTCTTGCATATACATTGATACATCTCATGTATGTTCTATATCTATTTGTTTAGTATGAGCTAAATACATGCTATGGTTCTTAACTAAATGATAAGTTTACTATGATTTTGTAAACCTACATGAACTAAATGAATTTGGGTATTGTGGGTTTGAAACCCTAACTTGATTTTTTGTTATAGGTGTTTGATTGAACTTTAGATTTTGGATTCTTTAGAATATATGTGATTTTGTATTTAATGTATTTGATCTGTCTCTTAAGAATGAGTATGTTCCTTTGTAAAAGTGTATTTGAAAATTTTATGCCTATCATGTGTTTGATATAATGTCAAAGTGACTATAAGTATTAAAATGATAAATTATGGGAAGAGGTATGAATTTTTATGATATGAGTAAGTATATTTTACCATGATTTGAGGTATTGTTAAGTTATTTTAAAGTATGAAAATGGTGGTGTTGATCTATATAACTTCTCAATCATTTAATTTACAAAATTTGTTATAAAAGGGTACAAATTGTATTTTTGGTGTACATGTGAGTTATTTTGAGAATGTGTTATGTTGGAAATAGAAATGTGAGATTTACTATGTATTTTTTGAAAGTGTCGAAGTTGTGGTCGGTGTTAAGAATGGAAGGTGATCATGAAATTATGGTTTGAAACTTGTATACTTGGTACCGACAGGCAGAGGGTTAGTAGACGATTGAGCCCTTGAGGGGAGGGTTACCAAGGCGACTACTAGTCCTAGGGGGGAATGGTGATGGTAGTGATTTTTGGTGACAGCCTGTGTGGCATCACAAATTGTGCCCTACACATCCTTCCTGAAAAGCAAAAAGGGCGATGAGACCCTAGGGTACAGGACACAAAAGATTCTCTGGGGATGGTTCATTTGTAAACTGGTGTTTGTTGATGATATCTATCTGTATGGGTAGCATACATGGATTTTGGATGCCAAGAAACCAATATACTAATATTCCAACAAACTTCCTGAGTGGAGTGAGGCAAGGTGAGGTTGAGGCGAAAGTACGAGGAGTTAATATTTTTGAAAAAATACTCTGGAAAGAACAAGTTTATGAAATTGTGTTCAAAATAAGGAATGATTACTTTAATAGATTTGTATAAAGATTTATTAGTTTGTACTTTATAAAATCAATGATTTTGCATTATGTTTTAAGAAGAGAGGTTTTATAGTGTTATTTTGAGATTTGATTTCGATGTGGTAAATTTCTTGATGTTTCACTAATATATTTCAAATGATAGTATGTAATGTACTTTCAAAAATGCTTACTACTTATCGTGTACACCTATTGATAAATTATTTATTTGCCTATCAATATGATTGTGAACTATTGGTATTTAAAATCTTGTCTATGCTTGAGAAAATGATTATCCTACTGAGCGTGTGGTTGCTCACCCCCATCCTTTAACATTTTCAGTTGTGGGTATATGTTAGTAGACTGCATAGTGGGAGTATCGAGACAGAAGATGTTATAATTTAGTTAGAGTATGTAAAGAACAATGTAGGATGATGTATGTTATTGAGGATTTGTAAATGATTTATATCTTGGTTAATTTGAGGGAATATGTATAGATTGAGACTTTTTAAATGGTTTTCTTATAAAGATTTTAGATATTTTATATCTTATGTTCATGACGAAGAATTTTGGATAATTAGATTATAATCCGGGTTTGGGAGGACTTCGTAGGCCTCCATTTGCCACCCCGGTATTGAACGGTAATGACTTATTTATGGATATCATGATAAGGGATGTATATGATTGATATGGTGTGAATGATTAATTAGATATAATTATTATGTTTAACGCTCTCACAGGTAGCTCTCACCAATTGTCTGGATGTCCGATTTTCAAAGAAAACTCTGCCGAAATTTTCTAAAAAAAAAAATTATTTATTTAAACTAAAGAGATACTTGTCTAAATGTTTTTATAACAAACCGGCATATGTGTTTGGAATAAGCAAAGTGATTTTTTTTGTCATGCTTTTGTGAAATTTGGGGCGTGATAGTGTCAAAGTCACCAAGAATTAGCCACGGTTCAAAACAAAAGACACCTGCATGATATTTGATGTTCCTCCATAAATCCTTCTTATCATGTTCCTCATTAGATGCATAAACAATAGAGATGAAAAAAGACGATTTATTATCAAGATGTTGCACATGAAAATGAAAAATCTGATCGGTCTCAAAAATTTTGCTGATATGTAGGCTATTTGGATTCCAAGCTACCCAAATTCTTCCCAAAGTATGGCAATTATAGTTATCAACATAACTCCAGTCCTGAATACTTGCCTCATAATGAAAGCCTTATTAATTTGTCTTACTCTTGTTTCCAAAATCCCAATAAAGTCCAGTTGATTACAATTAATAAAATTCCTTATTTCTTCTTGCGTAGAGGCATTGTTGAGCCCTCTAATGTTCTAGCTTGTAGCTTTGATCATTGCCAAAGAGATTTGCTGAGCTTAAGGTGCTCAAAACCCATAATTTTGTTCTTTTCAGAAGCATTTTCTAGCCTTTCTTCTTTTTAATGTTTTGTAGTATTTTTCATTCAATATCAACAACTTTAATCACATGGCTATCATCCATATGCTTGCCATAGTTGGAAGAGGTGTTAGGTGGGAGTTCAACAATTAATTTCCTCACTTCCATTTCAAGGACAGAGAATTTGTTAAGTGAGGGTAACATAATGGCATTGCTATCAGCAAGTGGGGGGTATAAATGTTCATAAAAGTTACCTGATTGTCTTATAGAATGGTAGACAAGGTTCCATTAGCTGGGATAGCAAAAGAGGAGGGAGAACCAGAGAATTCAGCAGCTTGGAGGTTGTTAGAGCTTCAGTTTGGTCTCTCATCAAACTTGACCCATTCAAGGCATATATTTCACCTATTTCCGTTCCTTTATCTCCTTTAGATATATGCTGCGAAAAAACCTTAGAAATTCCTTCGTTGTTGAATTTCATTCTAGGGTCGCTAGGCTCATTGTGCCCAAAGATATTGCATGAACAATAGACTTCAGGTTTCCATTGCTTTTCCACCATAATTTCCACCATCAACATCCAGTTGTAGGTCAAAAGACTCCACAAGCTTGGTATTAGCCTTAACTTCAACACAAACTCTAGCAAAGGATATTCTCTTCTTATTAGCAGTAAGAGAATCAGCATGCAATGGCTAACTGCACTAGTAATGTAACTAATGCCATCATCACTCCAGAATTACAGAGGAACATCGTGCAGCTTAACCTATAGAAGTATCACAGATTGATCCTCTTTGGAGAGGATGAGATCAGCATTCCATTTCCTGAGGATAAGTGGCCTACCTGAGAAAAGCCATGGACCGTCTTTGAAAACCTTAGTTTTGGAGATATCATCTATAAATTTGAAGAAAAAGAACCCTTTTTCATCAGCAGGAACTCCGAGAAGCCCCATTTTGTCCCATATCCTATGGGCAATATAATTAACCATCGACTACGGAAGCTTTTTGCTCAATAAAATACCATACCAAGGATGTCTCCCATTCAAGGCATCCCCTGTTTACCACTTCCTTGGGCGGTTTAACCACAATGTGTTCATTGTCCTTGGTGGGCTCAAAATACTGCAGCTTCATCTTTGGGAAAGACTTTCCCATTTGTGGTTGGTAAGTAGAATTCTTGCCATGCCTAACAACTTGACTCCAAGAACCAGCAATTGTCACTAGGTTTTCCTGGTTTTGAGGGGTTTCCACAACTAAGTCATCAGTAGTTGTGGGGAGAGTAGCATTTAGAGTCCCTTTAGGCAGAACATTGGTAACAAGGGGAACAATTCCTCCATTACTGGAATCATCAATCCTATTCAAGGCTAGAACAGGGGTGGTGATGACGCCTCTGTCATTTCGCACATTCTCACCACCGAGTGGGAAAGAGATGTAGATGCGTGGGGATTCATAAGAAATTAAAAAGGGGAAGGAGTACAGTAGGCAAAGAAAGCATTTTTGGGAAGCATTTTGGGAATTTTCTGTCCAATAATATTCAACCAATTCCTATTGGTACATCGCAGGCTGTCTTTTTTTTTACCAATGGTTGGTGAAGTATTTGTCTTTTGTTTAGGATACTGCAGGAAAAATAATTCCTAAAGCTTGATTAATTGTTTAAGTTGCCAAAAATGGTTCTTCTGTGTGGATTGCATCAAAGAGCGGTTTGTTTCCATTAATTTTGGTTTTATTTTGTGTAGTTTGGTTTTTATTTTCCGTCTCTACCACTTGATGGATTAATGTGAATTCACATTTGCTCTCCTTTGATAAAGTGATTCGAACGTCTAAATAAAAATTTGCACCTTATTCATTTTTAGGGGGTGAATTTAGATAAATTAGGGCCATTATGGTGTTTGATTGCTATACCACATGATATAACCTAAAATTCTATGTGTCAACAATCAGGTTTAAAAGTAAAATAAATGAAAAAGTTGGTGGGTATCTGTTGGCTGCTGATTTAGTATTTTTGTAGGCGGTGATTATTTCATATCTGCTCTTGAAGTGATGTGCTTCTAAGTGTTTGCGAAAATGTCAGTACCAATTAATTTTCATATTGGTCATTTTTTCAGAAAAATAAATAACCTATTGTTTTTTATTTGGGTTTGTTCGGGAGTGTTATTAGTTTATTAAGCAATATTTTGTTTTGGGTTAGTGCTTTTAGTTGAGGTTAGATTTTTTCCATATGTATGTGCATCTATGGTTCTTTTTTTTTTTTTGGTTTTGGGTGTAAGAGGTATGTTGAAGTGTGATGTTTGCCGAAACCAGTCCGTCGTTGGTTCGGACATCTAGGTATAGTTTAATTTTTGTTATATTTTAATTTGGTTCTGTTTAATGTTATCATTGACAATTTTTGTTGGCTTTGTTGTTGGTGCCTTGACAGTTGCTGCGGTTGATGCTTTCCGGATTCTCACAAGCACAATAAGTAGAAACCAAGTATAGTGTATCACACACGGCAAAAAAGGTATATGTATCGCAATTCCTCTCTTTACAACAAGAAAGTTCGTCATTTTTGTTTTTCATTGATTTTTTCTTCTTAGTCATTAGTTCATTGCAATATTTGCTTGGATATTTTTGTCTTTCTTTTCTGATTCGCAAATTTGATTTTTTATCCGAGTTCCAACTTCTACCAAATTACCATTCTTTTTCTTTCGATCTCTTTTCTAGGTAAATCTTCAAATCTGCAATCCCTAATCATTTTTGCCCGGCAACACTTCATTTTGGCACACTCCAAGCAAAGCATTGGTATGAATGTATTGAATATATTGGATTTGAATTGAATTCCTATTGTTAAGACTGAACTATAGTGTGATAATAAGTTCGTTATTTCTAGGGTCCTATTTTTAGGAGAAATTTTGTTGAAATTCTTTCTCTCTCTCTCTCTCTCTCTCTCTCTCTTTCTTTCACTCAAATGTTTTATGTTTATGGCAGCATAAGTTTGTATTGGTTTTAGTTTGAGTTCATGAGGATTCTTGGATTATGTTAATGTCGCATGATTATTCTTCTTCATTTCAACACCCGAACTTCTTTTCAGGCATTCTTAGACACCTCTTTTGCTTGGGGAGTTGTTTGTGTTAAAGTGCCTTCAGACACGAGCAATAATTTGTTTATATATATATGAGAGAGAGAGAGAAATAATCCTAATTTATATATGGATATAGACATATAAGAGAGAGAGAGAGAGAATTTTAAGATATAAGAAAAATTTTGGACTTGTTATTTTTTAATATTGTTTTAAATAAATATAGCTACTGAAAATAATTCAGACAAACGAGATTAAAATGAACTTATTCTCAAACAAGTTTTTTGAGTGGACTTTAGTCCAAATAAATTCACAAAAGGGGGACTAGCCCCCAAATTTTTCAAAAATATTCATTTGATATATCAAAAAAGTCTACCATTTTTTGTTTTCAGTATATTTTTTAACTTCAACTTCAAATTGTGCTTTTTGACTAGGAATATTTTCAAAACTAAGTTTCAAAACAAGATGGAGGACGATTTTCTCACAAATATTTTATTATGTACATCAAAAAAAAATTGTTGAAAAAATTGGTACAAATTCAACAATTAAGAAAATATGAGATAGAAAAAAACGTTGAGCATTATTTTGATAGACGATCAAGAACACATTTAATAAAACAACTATTCACTTTGTTCATTTCTTTATGTTTATATTCAGTACATTTATTTGTTTTATATATGATATGCAACATAAATTCGAATCTATGAAGTATAAACATAATTAATGTTGTTGGTATGAGTTTATTTACATAGGGTTTGGCCCCCTCGCGTTAAAATTTTGGTTTCATCTCACGTCACAATTAATTCTTGAAAAAGTATTTAAGAATTTTCAGTAAACACATGAACGTAACAGGATTAACACAAGCATATTTCAAAAATTAAAGAAATACATTCTTAGTTAGAATTTAACAACTTCCCATAAGAATAAGTGTTAACACGGCTATAACACCTCTCGAAATTCCACTACGCCACACTAGCGCTGTGCATGTGTGTCACACAGGCAAATTACAACCACAATAATCAAATTCAACAACCAACAAGTGGTATAAAGAAGTGTAAGGTTAAGCATTTACCTTGAAGTTGGAGTCTACCTCGAAGTTGATCCTTCCACTGGGCCTTTTAGCGAGATGTTCATTGACGTAGATGTCTCTAAACCTACCACACATATAATTATAATTGCATTCAAGCATTTCACATCTAACCATTAATGTTCCCTATGCTTTATTCATATATGTGTATTCGCACTCGCTCCAACATGATTCGCATGCTATTCGGCCTGATCTAACTCCTTCCATACGCTTAAAACTTCCTCTTTTTATACTCTTAGCGAGGTATTTCTACGGTTATGGTTAAAGGAAAATATTTTAAATATAAAAGTGTAGGTGAACCAAATAAGGGGAAAATGTATTAGTATCGGACCCATGCAATGCACAAAACAATTTTAGAAAAAATGTATTAGTATCCCCATCATTTGAAATATTGGATAGGAATTAAATTAAATTGTGGGATGAAACAACCAAAGTTTTAAAAATTTAAACGAGCAGTTGTTAATTTATAGGGTGGAGGGGCTGTTATATGTAACGTGGCAGAATTTGATTGACTAAAATCTCATTTTGTAATTAAATGAATGAAATTTCTAAAATTGAAGAACATAGGAAGAGAAGATTTTACACGCCCTCTTATTTATAGAGAAAATTTTGCTGAAATTTTTTGAAATAGGCATTAGGTTGAGATTTCCTAGATTCTCCTACAGCTTCTGGTCGGTACCTTTGCACCAATGGCATCTTTCAGTTCGATGAATTTGCTGAGAGAGTCAACAAACTATTCCCTGAGTTTCCAGTTATGGGTCTGTATTTTGTATTCCTTGAATGTTTATGGCTTTTGCATATCTTAATGCAGTGGGATCAATAGTCTCATTATTTGTGGCTCGCAATCAACTATAAAAAATAGCATCACCATATTTTCCAAAGTGTTTGATTAGCAGATAGAGAGACCGATTTCTTTCCTAGATATAGGAAAGAGTCATGTCATTACCATGTTCAATAGAAGCCTTGGATATAAATTTATCAACCAAAACAAAGAGTCATGAACCCGCAATATGAAGCAGAATAATGACATTTGATGAGCCAGAATTTGATTGGGCCAAATCTAATAAAAATAAATCAAGAAGCCCGAGTAATCCATACCTAGAAAAGAGCCCCACATGCTACCACCCAAGAGATATCAAGAAGCCAAAAGCAGTAGGGACACCAAAGGTGCGCCGCCCATATGTGGAACCAGGGGCACCGCCCAAGGGGGTCACCCAAGCCCCTAGGCGTTGCCCAAGAGGCGCAGCCTAGGCCTGGGCGTCGCCCAAGGGTTCCTCCCCTGTTTCCTCCTTGTTTTCCCCACTTGCCTCCTCTTCGTCCCATGCCAATTCAAGTCTAGCCACTCCAACTCAAAGCCCAGACTCAGGATCAAGTCCAATCCAGCTCAGAATCCTCCTCCAACTAAATAGAAGCACGAGGGAGAAAATATCAGGATGGAGATTGAGTCTTACTGCTATTATACTTACCAAAATAGTAGAAACTCTCACCATCACGTCACCGCCTTATCCTAACTATATAATGTATACATTCTCAACAATGAGGGCACGCCTAAAAAACCTTTACACATCCCCCTACACACATTGTTCTCTCTCTCTCCCAAAGTATTGTGATACCCTCGAAGTTACTCACTCGGATACATTATTCATTAATAAACAGTCCAGGCCACCACTGCCGTTCTTGAGAATGGAGTAGGTCATTCAGACTGAACCACTATAATTTTTTGTGTTGATCCATTATTTTAATTGCCTTAGCTCTTAATTGTCATTGATTGCTTGTTAGTTGCTCATTAATTACGCTTCTTCATATACTCGACTGTTGAACTTGTGCAATATCGTTTTGTGCAATATCAGTNTTAGCTCTTAATTGTCATTGATTGCTTGTTAGTTGCTCATTAATTACGCTTCTTCATATACTCGACTGTTGAACTTGTGCAATATCGTTTTGTGCAATATCAGTTTCACGCCGTCTGTGGGAAATACTAGTTTTCCAACCCTTTTAATTCATGGCAATCACTACCAAATTAATGAGCCAACAGCTGAGAGACAACAACCCAGCCCACCGGGAGGAGGCTCCGTCTCCCCTCGCGCCTAGGGAACCATCTGCTATTGCGACACTTGTCGGGCAACAGCAACAGCTCCCCCAAACCATGCAGCTACTGGTGAGCCAAAACCAGTAGATAATCCAACTGATGCTCGCCCAAGGAGGCATCGCCCCTCACCCTATGGGAGGAGCCCCACTCCCTCCAATAAGAGAGGAGCAACAACC